TCCAGACTATGCAGTTTGATCAAGACAAAATGGCCTGTGCCTCTGCAAAGCTGTACTCTTCAGGTGGGTCGAGAACTCCAGAGCACAGACTCTACTTTGCACATGGGTTACAAGGTGCACACATCAACTTGTGTAGAAAAGAAAGGTTACTCTCCTGTGTGAAAGATAATGTAGCTTGATGTAAGCTATTAGGGAGAAAATGCAAATAAAAAGATAGTCCTACCTTAACCTTACACTGCACCAGAATCAAGGCAAAAATTTGCACGAAGCAGTGCAACAACAGCTTCAAACCTCACTTCCTGACACACATACCCTGTTCTTCTCTCCAAGTTGATAAATTAAGTTCAACCTCTGATCTTAAGCCCACACGTTCCCAAGAAGTGTCCTTGGAGGTAGTTAAGTGGAAAAGCCCGTCAATCAGAGGGAATTACAGAATCTGATAGCAAAAAATTGTAATTTTGGTGCAAGATGAGTCATTAAATACTTGATGGCTTGTGTTATAGATGATTAAATTATGCATTTTCAGGTGAAAATAATTAAATCTTTGGGTTGCTGCAAGGGGTTACATTTATCATACAAAGTGGAATTAACCAGTTTTGAGTCAGCTCAAGGGGGGGAGTTGATATGAAGTTATCTAGCAAAGAGTTCTATAAACTTTGACATGCTTACTGGTATATTTGATGGTATGTTCTAGTGACTAAGCTGTGCCAGCTTAAATATTTTACACTGAGTCTTCTAATATTTTTAGCTAAAACATATATTTTTACTTGTCTTTCTAATGTTTCTATAAGAGAGCCTGGCAGTCACAATTGATTCCTGATTTCCCAATTTCACAAGCATGTCATACCTACCCTTCATTCCAAGCCAAATCCCTTTGTAGCATTTCAGAAGACAGAAATAAAATCACTGCTTCACAATTTTAGCTATAAAAGTTCTGAATAATTTATAGGTAGGAAGAGATGGAGAAGATGTAGGACATATGAGTGATCATATTAGCACAGGATAGACTGATGAAATGTTTTCCAGAAGAAAGACGGTTTAGCTGCACCTCTGTAGATTATACTTGGAAAACTGTGCAAGCAATCACTTTCAAAATGTAAATATTTCTAATGAAAGCATTGTGCATCAGAGTAGTGATGCCAGTCAAGACAGATGCACTGTTAAAATGTTACAGTCCTCACATACTGCAACAGACTTCTGTCCCTTTAAAATCTACAAACATAAGTGAGATCACAAAATAAAAGAAACCCAGTGTTTAGTATTAAAAATGCAAAATTGCCCAGATAATTACATTTAATTACCCACTCTAGTTAAAAAAAAAAATTAAATACAACTCTCACTGCAGAAGCATCCATCCTCTGCATGTCTCTGTAGGCTGACATTCCCACTAGTAACAGAAACATCCCAAGATACACCTACTGTAGTTCTTACTGAAGTGAGCAGGTAACTGAGAACAGAAATAATTCTTTGCTCTTGTGCAGCCATATAGATTTTATGAAATTGGGGCACTTAAAGTTTAACAGGCTCAGCAGATAGGGCAAATTGCATCCTTTGTCTCTACAATATTCCCTGATTCTATCATTAGTGAAACATCTCCCACTATGGCAAAAGGAAAACTGGTATGAGTGTGAGAAAGACTGCACTACTATACATACACAGTGAACCTGAAGAAAAGAAGATTACGTGGAAAAAAAAATGAATGAAATGCTTGAAACAAGACAAGGAGTGCACAGTCATTCATACGCTCCTGTGTGCTCCCTTGCTCCTCTACTCCCTAATAGCATCAATCATGATGGTCACTGGAGTGTACACATTGGAACAATAACTTCAGATATTAAGAAAACTCTTTCTACTATTGGGTCAAACACCTGAGAGAGAAAACAGCATTAAGAGCCACTTGACCGATTCCCTAGGAATGGTTAAACCAGTGTCTTTAAAATTTAGTCCAAAGTGACTGCTCTTCCTCTTCTGACTTTCTCTTCTAAAGTTGCTTGCAGAGCACTGAGAGATTCCCCATGCTGAGCCCTAGTTGCAAAGTGGATTCAGGCAGGAAATAAAGGTGTTCAGTTCCTACTTGGACAAGGCTGCTATATATCAGTCACCCTGTAGAGCAGCCAGGTAGGCTGTATCAAAGCATCTCTACTCAGCACACTGCCTCAATGGGAAACAGTAAGTGAAACACTCACTTTCTCCTAAGTCTCTGTAATGGCAAAAAAAAAAAATACAAAACCCAAAAAGTCATCAGAAAGAAGTGAATCAAAGCTGATATACAACTTTTCTGAAACTTTTTGCATCCAAAGAGGTCTCTCCTAATCACCTCTGATACTTCTTATTTTCCAGCCATCCTAGACACTGCCATGAGGAAGTGGGTGATTGATTGGGGCTTCAAGATTTAATGTATTCACTGAACCTTGGTCTACTAGTAGCTCATATTCATCTCAATAAGAACTGAATCAGCAGGTCACACCATGCCACCAGAATAATTACAGACAGAATGTATGAGATTTTTAAAATCTGCTGTTTTTTGTGCAGTTTTAGTTTATATCAAGCGTGAATGACAAGGAAGGTGCAAAAAGGTTATAGCAAATGTTTAGCACAATAAATAGGCAGCAAAATAATATGATAATCAGGCTCAGCCCTGCTATCTTTAGAGAGTCAAAACACAAGTATTTTCAGTTGGAAGATTGATTTTTTCAGGGTTTTTTGTTCACCCAAACAACAACTCCAAGATTTGGCCCTATTCACACCTGAACTTGGATGTACTTTGTTACAATTTATAGTGAAACTGAGAGAGCAAATACACGTGTAAAACTATTTATAAAAGTAGTCACTTCTACAGTCCACAATTTCCACACTTCAATTTTGATCTTATTTCTTCATATTTTGTTACTGACTCTGTAATGTCTGTTTATCCAAGAGTGCACTGTTCAGATGTAGTATTTTGCATTCAGCAAGGCCTGCTTCTTACCCAATTTTTCACTGGAATAGAAGAAGGTTAGAAAGTTACTTTCTCAGCAGTATTAATACATAATTCAATTATTCTATACATCATTTTACTTGAGAATATGAAGGGGTGATAATACCAGAGACACAGAGCCATACTGGAAACAGACATTGGAGGCAAATACTTCTGGCTCCCAGGTCACTGGGCCACTTGACCACTGGCCAAATTACAGGAATTTTGTTCTTCCACATGAAAAACAGTTCCTTTAGAAATCATGCACTGAGCTGTATCTCTAAGCTAACGACTATAAAAGTTCTTGTGTCAGAACTAGGTACCTACATGACTGCTGAATCAGGACCAGGAACAATTCTGCAAGAGCTCTTGTTGAGCTGCTGCTAAGTGCTGACATTTCAATTGGGCTTCTTGCTAGCATACCTGCAATAGAGACGATGCTCTCAGAGCATTAGCGGACAGGGAAAGGTTCCAATATTGACAGGTACTCTCAACTATCAAGGTTTCTTTCATGAAAAAAATACTTAGTCTCAACAAATTTAATGTGGAATTGAATGTAGACAGGCAAAATTGCATTCATAATGGGCCAGCTGATGACAAATAAATCCTACAAGGATTACCAACAAACTTAATTCACCAAAGGCTCATCCTATGAAGCCACTTTCATTAAATTTAACTATTCCTCACAGCAGTATTACAATCTGGTCTAGTTTTTCACAGAAGATTAGAAGGGGTGGAATTATGCAGGTAAAAGTAACAAAGTAGGAGAACAGTAACAGTACATCAGGAGAAAAGGAAAATTGCTTCTCAGCTGGTCAAGAGTAACTTGTGTCCACTGTTACCAAGCAAAATCAAACTGGCAAACATTGGCAGTACTAGAGAGGTACCATGGGCAGACTTGTGTTTGGGGAGGTGACATCCCACTGGTACACACATGGACAAGGTCTGTGCTCCTTCAGAAATACAATATCCTAACCACTGCAATGGAGCATCCTAAAAGTCACAGCCACCACACAAGCATGCTACCTTTTAGGAAGGTTAGGAGATATTTAATGATGTAGCAATCTGGGAAAGCATATGGAGTTTGACAAACTCAAGAATAGAAGAACCAGGATGTGCAGGGATAGGATATTTGGCCTTTTAAAGTAATAGTGTGACTTTCTCATGACCTTCTCTGCCATTTTGCTATTGCCTCAGAATACAGACTCTGTAACTAGATGACATCTATGGTGATAAAAAACAGAAAAACAGAGCAGTTCATAACAGGGCAACCTAAAATCTCAAGTGACTGAAAAAAATGAAAGATGCCTGCAGTAATACAAACACCTACCTAACTTGAGTACATCATAGGAACCAAAAGGAATTGCTAATGCACGCAGGCCAGCCTGGCCAGCTTTCCTCCTAACTAGTGCATCTGCATTAGTGCAGTCTGTCATTCATTCTCAGTTCATAGAATCATAGAATGGTTTGGGTTGGAAGGGATCTCAAGGATCATCAAGTTCCAGCCCCCCTCCCACAGGCAGGGTTGCCAGCCACTAGATCAAGTACTACATCAGATTACCCAGGGCCCCATCCAGCCTGGCCTTGAAAACCTCCAGAGACAGGTATCCACAACCTCTCTGGGCAGCCTGTTCCAGCACTGTACGACTCTCTCAGTAAAAAAAACAGTGAAGCCAGAATAGCTGAATTTCCTTTGAATATTCCTTACGGCATAATAGTTCCTCCTTTAGTAGGAGCTATAGGAAATAGGTGAACGGTTGGACTGGGTGATCTTTTAGGTCTTTTCCAACCTTGGTGATTCTATGATTCTATGATTCTATGAAAACAAACCAAAATGCTACCAATGTAATTTCACTGTCTTAGTTAGGGCCAAAAGCCCTGCTTACTCTCCACATATGTGCAGAGGTGATGAGGATTCACTGTCATTTCATACCTCCCCTTGACTGTTTACCCTTTACTTGTCCTAAAATACCACCTCTGTGCTGTAACTGTGTGTGTCGTATTACCACAGCTGACAGGAATCAGTACTCCACTACTTTACCTGTTCTTCATCTTGTTGCTCTGAATGGAGTGATAGCAGTATAAGCCTCTTGCTATGCCTGGAAAAAGAAAAAAAGAAAAAAAAAACAATTAATTATATTGTACTTTTACTACAAGTTAATGTATAATCCAAACATAAAGGTCTCTAGAGACAAAAAACAAACACACTGTGCACTACAGCTGTGTTGGATGCTTCATTCAAGTTTATCCTGAAGCCATTAAGTTGTTGACAATCTCTGTTAAAAATACAATGTGAAAGGAACTTCACCTTGTATGGATATTTGGTAACTGTGCAACCCTCACTAATCATACTCCTTGGAAGTTCACAGGCTAAGAAGTCCTCCAGAAGAGCCTACAGGAAAGCAAAAATGAGGTTAAGAAATAATTTCTCTAAAACTCTTCTGGTTGTCATATAATAGCTGAAAAGGAACTTCCTGACTTGTCCCAGTATCATAAAAGATTCCAGTGAGAGACAATTAACCAGATTCTCTCCTGGCATGGCTATCCAAACAAGAAGTTTGCTGTTCACATTTAATAAAACAATACATTAAATGCTGAGAAACGATTTTCAGGTGGGGAAAATTCAGATCATTATGTTGCAGCTTGCTGTTTGAAAGACTCAGGATGCAACTGTGTTTAAGTTAGTATCAACCACCAATAACTTAGCACAGTTAATCATTGTCAAAGTAATTGAAATATTATTAAAATTATTATTATAACACTTAGAAACCACCATAACACATTAGGTGTCCCTGATATTAGATGCTGTAGAGAGAACAGAAAGATAGTATCTATTGTGAAAAGCTCATAGCCTACTTTATTATATAACTGAAGAATGGATACAAATAAGCAGGAAAAAGCACACTGAAAACTTATAGCAGAATGCTCTGCCAAGATCCCCAGGCTTCTCGGTAATTTCACTATAAAAATGAATCCACATCCTTGTCTAGGAGGAGGGCTGTGATCCTTCCAGCTGAGTATTGCCATAAATGTCCATAGTACGTATGCACCGAGCAGCATTTAGCAGCAAGGTAGCAAGACAGCAATGCTTGCAAATCACATGCATTCACTGTACATTCATTAGGTTTTCATAGTGCACATAAGCAGCAGATCCTGTGATCTCACTAGGAAAGTGTTTCAATATGCCCAAAAATGTCAGATAAATGTTGCACTTCCAAAAAGTGCATTCAAGATTGTGGCGGTGAAAGGAAATGAAATATTTAAAGTAAGCAATATACTTCTGTTCACATACCAGTGACCTTCACTAAATTAGCCCTAATGCTTAAGCATATGGACAAAGATGCAGCAAAATGTTATTGAGCACCTGTATCAGTCTGCACTCATTGCTCAGTTAGAATCCCAAGATTCCAGCTGAGGCTGCAAGTTCCCATACCTATAGGAGCAGAATGCCACACTTACATGTTGTAACTCAGCTGCACTGTTGTCAGCTGCTCAAAATCAGACCACCTTCCTTTGGTGTATGTGCCACCACCAGCATGCACCCTTGGCTGCTACTGATAAGCAAGTTAACTCACTATTATTTGTTGCTACGATTTCTTTTTCTCAGATTTTCTAAACAGTTTGTAATCCTAAAACTTATCCATTCCCTACTCATATTGCATTTTGGGGGTGCCTACTCTGTAAAACTGCCGTGTAGTTGAAAACTACTGTATATATTGGTGATTAAACAAACTCCACACTTGGTTCAAAAGTTCAGCTACAATTTCAATGCTTTGGAGTAGAAAACGATAAAAAAGCAGAGGTTAAAAAAAAAAAAAGTTGAAAAATATAGGATGAAAAATGCAGCTGAGAGAGGGAAAGAGAAACTTGTAAATGAGCACAGAAGCAATTTGATTACCATATACAGTACTCTTGTCAAATGCTACATTTCCCTGCTTTGATGTCTGATCCACAAGGGAAGGTTGTTTGCTGCTCCTTCAGAGGCAGCTTGGTTTTGGTTTAGTGATTCAGCAGTTACTATTGGATCCTCTGCTCTGGACTTCTGCCAAATGTAGCCCAGAGAATTTCACCAGTGCACTCCTGCACTAAGCTCAGTACCTTCTTGTTGAACTGAGGCATGTCTTTTAGGAAGACAGCTGTTCTTCACTGGATCCATAGGTGAGTTGTTTCAATTACTAATTTCCCTTGCTGTTAAAAAATTTGCACTTTATTTCCCATTTGAATTTGCCAACCTTTGTGCTAACAGTCACAGGTTTGTACCCTGATGACAGCTCATCTATCAGTTCAGCATCAGATAATTCATATGTGTCAACACAGTTACCGGGAAGGAAACAATTCTGTCTTTGGAAAGACTTTCCTTTAGATGGGGCAAGAAAAAACAACCTTTAATAAAAACTACTTGGCAAGAAAAAAAGCCTTTAATAAAATATCCTTCTTAACTAAAGAGGGAGAAATGATACATGAAGAAATGTTACAGGGAGCAATCAGTAATAGCACTAGCTAGAGTGACAAGCTTGAATGTGTGCAGCCTGAAAGGCAGCTGCTAATGCAAAAGAAGAAAGACCTTTCAATGACTTCTGAGTGACTCAGCAGTCCCATGATGCATTGTGCAAATAACCCCTAAAATATAAGGGATGAGATATCAAGAAATTGTCTTTATTACCCAAACAAAATTACTGTAGCAAAAAGTTACTGTCATTACCCTTTAATAACAGCCAAAGCAAGATTTTAGAGATGAACGGTGTTGCTACATTTAACTCTTCTCCAATGTTTGCTGCTACTTGGCAATATGCAACCATCACTAATGACCAAAGACAATCATCTAGAGCAAAGAATGGAGCTAGAGGAACAGGGAAGAGACGTATGGACTTCAGCACAGCACTAGTGAGGGCAACTCACCTGGCTGAGAGTTCTCTTACGCATATTCCAATGCTAAGTAGCATTTCTCTCCAGTCAAGTTAAATTTCAAGTCCATCTTCTTTTCCAGTTACCAAAAATGTTCAATGCAAGGATAGAAATGTCTGAAGCAAACAGAAGGGCTAATTTTTCTGTTAGAACTGTGAAGCACAGTGACCCAATGTTAACCAACACTCCCTAGATAATCCCCAATTTTGATATTCTTTGTCTGATTGATGTAAATACACACATTGCATGGAACAACACTTTTTGGCCTCATGTGGAAAGCAGACACAGAAGTTATTCTCAGCCAAAACAGTTTGCTTTTCAGTCTGTGTCAAGCACGAAACTAAAAAACACCAAGAACTAAAATCAAGTTTTCTTGCACAGTCTCGTCTGTGAAAGACTGACATGTACATTATTTAATACTCAGAGGTCTTGAATCAATATATATTTCTGACTTGTAAATGGCCAACCACATATTTTGTTCAAAGCTATGCCACAAAGAGTCTGTGTGCTATATCAGAGCAGCCAGGCAGTGGATAATGTGGAAGAACAAAATGGAAAGGCCAAATGAGAAAAGCTGTATATGAGCTGACTGCTGCTCTCTCTGCTGCTCAAACTCTCCACAGAAGGGATGGCAGACCATATATGACATGAGGGATTGCAAACAAACTGTTGACTTTCTATGTGGGGAGTACCAAAACAGAATGAATGTCTATCATACAGCAATTCAGCTTCTGCTAAGACAGAAATAGAGAGCTTGTCAGATTGTTCTGGCTCGCACTGTTTCAATCATGGACAAGTTGGCTTCCAGAAAGATTCACCATGAAGACCATATCCATAATGTCACACAGAGTCAGTGGTGGAAAGCCACAGCTGATGGATGACAGGAGAATACCTACAAACACCATATGTGACTGTTCTATGAGGGACTCAAGGGGATTTATGGACCAAGACAAAACATGACAATGCTGACCATCACAAGGGAAAAAATGCACTCATCACAGGTTGCCAAGGCATAGGGAAGCGCTGGGCCCATTTCTTTCAGTTTTGTTTCAGCAACAGCACAACCACCAGCAGAAACGTGTTGGACTCACTTCTGGGGACGTTTGGTTAAGCTACGAGTCATAGCAAGGATGTGTCACTTAGGCACTATTTATCTGCACTATGAATATCAGGATTTGCTTTAGAACTGCCCTAAGTTTGTCTAACCTATCTGGTTAACACAGTGCTCAACTGATGAAGAACTGATGTCCAGCACTTGGCACATACCAGTCCTTTTTTCTGCCATTTCCATATGCAGGTCTGAACTGCATATATGCTCACTTTTCCTGAGCGTATTTTGAACAACCATGTCAATTTTGGAAGTCTATTCCATCCAGATCAAGTTTTCTATTAGAATGAAGGTTTCAAAATTGTTCTGCCTACCAGATGTTCTCTCCCCATGCAGCATGTCCATACTAGAGAAGTTCCCATCAGCATTCTGCAGTGCATTCTTATCAGCAAGCTTTTATTCTCCCCAGGTACACACTGACATGACATCCCAGCCAAAGAAGAAAATTCTCAGATACACTATGTACTGCTCTATACCTACATTTTATTTTATGAAATGTAAATGTAAACTTGATTCAGAGAAGAAAAACAGTGTTTGTAAAACCTGTAATTTAGCTATCACATAGCAAAACCAAGATAAAGAAATCAATGGAGGCATGCATTCTCAGCTGAGGAATCAGCTGTCAGTTCTTTAAAGCAACAGAAGTTGGGAACACACGTTTTATTTTTCATTCCTACACAAAAAATCATATTGCGCTGCAGATTCAGTTACTGTTCTTCCAATATTTTGAAAATATTAATAAAAATTTATATGTTAAGCAGCATTATCTCTCTTAGAATCTAGTCTTTGTGTGACTGCACTTTGAGTGATTTTTGCACATTTCAGTTTTAGATAAAAGCAGTTCAACAAATTAAATCAAGAGACACCGCTGGGATAAGGAAGTCATAATATAATGATATTATAGACTAAATATTCTGCCTACAGCAGGTCTGAAATATGAATCCTCACAAATACCTCTGAATTTTGTGAGAAAAGGAATTTCATTAAAACCAATTGTCTTTATCCATAGACACTTTTCAGAGCAATGCTGATGACTTTGTCAAGGCCCCCAGTTCTCAATTGCTGACCTGTTCATCTGTCCAAGAACTGCACTCCAGCAACACAGACTGCATTTATTGGACCACTGAATCAAACAGAAAACCATCTGTTAATTTAGAAATCACTTACCCTAATCAGAGTCACAGTTCTAATACGACTGTGTGCACCAGCAGAAAGAGATTCAATGATACTGAAAGAGAACAACGACAATACTATATGAAAACCAGGTAACAGAAGAGAGACTCAACAAGAAACCAGACCTTAAGGTAAGAACCAGTATGAAATTCAAACTGCACCTCTTACTGGGAAATCTGGAATTGGTACCCTTCCTCAAATGCAGATTTTTATTTTTAACTTTGCCAATACTTTAGCTATTCGCACTGCGGCTATCGCACTACCAAAGAGCCATTTACTCCAGAGAAGTCCAAAAAGTTAAGTCTTGTGGAAAATCCTAAGTTAACAGCATTCCTACAAAATAATTTCAGGCTCATAGGCACCTGGTGACTCGGACACAAACATGCACAATCACAGACTCTAGCAAGCTTTATAAGACAATTCATCAGTTGCAAGGCAACAGACAGTGAAGCATAGCAAGTTATGTAGCTTAGTGTATTTTTACTTAAGCTTCTTATTATTATTACTGCCCATCACAATTAAATTCTGATGCCACGACAGTATTATACAGGCTATATTCAAATTGAGCTGTCCCGTGCCAGCCACTATGCAACACCTGTAAGTAGTTCACCCTATCCCAAAAGACATCAAATCAGAACTCTGGATCTTTCAAGGTTTGTCCTTCTCCTTGAAACCTTGGTTTCACATTTCACTTTGCATTGGCTATTCCATCATTTTTCAAACCTTTCTGGTTATTCTACCTGTCAAGGAAATGTGCATTAGCCTCCAACAGGAAAAGGCCGTGTACCTGTAAGTGAAAAGCAATTAAGTTAATAATGAAAACAGTCAAGGTTTGTGTAGCTCTGTCAGAAAAATCAGAGATTTATTAATGGTACATTGGTTGGGGAAGAGAAACTTTAACTCCTGTTCAGTTAACTTGTATATGCTTTGTACACATTTTGCTTTTGTAAGAACTGGGGAGTTAAACTATATTAATAGAGGCCTATTAAGGGGGCAAGTTTTTGTTCACAAAACCTTCTGACCTACCAATCAATATTCACTAGTTTCAACCACACATTGATATAAATGAACTGCAAGCTTTTCCTTTTGCAGTGAGAGAGCACTTACACTTATATGCTATGAAGGTTTAAATGAGTTTATGGGGGATAGAGAGAGAATCTGAACAATTTCATCTACAAGCAGCAGAAATATGCTTGAATTTCGTGGATTTGCATCAAGCAGGTCACAAAATATTTCAGCTGAGGATAAACTGAGCACCTCCTGAAGATTCTGAAAATTTGCACCCTGTGACTGACCTCTTAGGAACTGGCTTCCATTGCCATTACCATCCTTCATCCATCACAACTTTACAACACATTCTCACTCCTGTTGGCCCAGGTATAACTCTGTGCTAACATTTATATATGGAAATTACAGGAATCCCGAATGCAAGACTGAGGAATCCTGAAATCTGACTCATTGCAAGTCTCATGGGGAACCGCTCTGCAAATATGGGCAAGAGCTACCCCTCCCTTTCTACACTTTATTTCCCTTCCAACTTCATTCTTGCACTGGAATAAAGAAAAGGAGACATGTTGCTGAAGTATTTATTTCAGTTCATGACCACTTGAAATTAGAACTGACTCATAAATAAAGCAGCACTGGCAGATTTGGGGTAAGAATATCTGATTTACAGACAGCAACATGTTGTGCAGAAATAGCCTTGATTAGTAGCCATCTTCATTTAGTGGCTGCCTACTTACGACACAGTTTGTAATAGACACTGCCTTCATTCATTAGCTGTTCTTGTTTAGTACAATATTTGCTCCTTTATCACACACACCTTTAAGCAAAGCTGCAGGGGAAAGCAATTAAATGCAATCGAAGCAGTGCCGTCTAAACAAAGATATACAGGGTGCTCCGTCTGTTAACATTGCTGAAGGCCATGATTGTAATTTATAACTAAACAAATGCCCGTATGTATGACATTACAAGCTCTGAACCATGATATGCAGGTAATGAAACTGTACAATCCTTATTTACGCTATGAAACAAGCTGTTACTTTTACTGCAGCTAGAGAGGCGTTTATTCTCACACTGCACGCAGGTGCAGCTCTCAGAGAGTCCATGAGGATTTGCAAGTGCACTGCTGGGGCAGGTAAGGACTGCTCAGTTAACTATGCACTTGGTTTTTAAGACCCCATACACCCAAGAGATAGGAGATTGTCCTGAATGCATATAACCACACCAGGTAAACTGGCTTGAAAACATTTTATAACCAAATTAGCTTTACAACCTAATGGTTCCTTCTGACCTTTGTTTGCCCAGTTGGCCCACTAGTAAAATGTGACAGGAAATGTTCAGTTCCCTCTATAATGCAATTTGAATTCAAGGGACACCAGGCGTTAAGCACTGCAGCATTAACAAGCTGCAGTACTATAGATTCATTGTAATTAATAACCAATAAAATTATTATTATTAAAAAATTGGCAGTAGGACCTTTGAGTTGGGAGCAGCACATCCTTGCTGCATTATCTCCTATTGATGGCCACCAAAAGCAAGACAGTTCCCTGCAAGACTACCCCAGTTACTGAAGTAGAGAAAAAGCACAACTTCTTCTCCATATTGTAACCATGAAACATGTGACTAGAGGAAAAGAGGAAACCTGTGTGTGTGGTTGGGTTTTCTTACACACTGGGGAGTGCTGGCAGCTGTGTGATAGAGCAGCCCCAACGTTCCCACACTGGCTTGAACTTTGCAAGGAATAACTCTGCGCTCTTTCTGCAATCCAGGTCAAACCATCTGCTTCAACACAGCAGCCAGGAATGTCATCTCGTGTCACTGTCCTTTCTTTCAGCTCTACACACTCCTATCATACATCCTTCCATCTCTAAAAAGAATGAAACCCACCAACACTTCTCTGTTGTTAACTTTAATTTCAGCAGAACGGCTGTCATGAGGAATTAATACTATTGCATTTAGAAATTTAATTAATAAAAGAATATTAGAATTACAGTAGTAATGAGTAAAACTATTCACAGCCATAGCAGTGCCAGAATACTTGAAATTCAGCATAAACAAATATGCAAGACTAATGAATTAACATAAACTCTAGGGTTTGAGAGCAACATTTGAATTCTTTTCCATCCAATCACGTTTCTGCTCTCAGCTCAAACTAATTATTAATAATTTCTCTCTGGTGATGGGGGCTATTTTGTAATTTTATTTCATCAATTTCTATTAGAGCAAAGAGGACAGGCAGTTTGGTTCTATTTTGCAACTCTAAAGACGGGGGAAAAATATATGCGGATGCAGAATTTCAGCTTATGGCATCTAAATAAATCATCTTCCCCCACAGAAGCAAAAGGAAAACAAATATCAAACTCTTATTGATCTTCACCTCCTACTCACCACACTGGATCTCACAACAAGCATGCAAAGTCTGAATGCAAAATACATAGTTTGTTATCATTATGATTACAGAGCTCAGCCTGCATTTAGATAGCAACAAAGCATATGTCACAGTTACCAGTCAGCACATGTGGACAGCCTTGCCCTAGAGGTGTGAGCTGCTCTACTCATCTCCACGAGCTGCAGGCAGATCCCCCAGTTCTGCAACAGCACCATTTTGCAATGACCCCACCAGGTAATGTTTTGCCATGAGAACAGCCGAGCTCCTGGCATGAAGTGGTGTGACCTGCTAAGCCTGCTCGTACCTGCTCAGCTTTTTACCTTTCATGGACAAGGGTTTGAATCAACTTGAGGATTAAATGGGAGACAAAGGAGCAGCCATTGTAAATACACAGAGTAAAAATGACAAAATGTAACCCATCGCAAAGCTCTAGTAGTGGTAAATACAAGTGGTGGAAATTGTTTTGGAAGATGTCACACACGCTCATATAAGAGTAGCAAAAACATATATTTGGCACAAGACCAAATTAATAGAAAACAAATCAGGGCTTCCAAAAATACTTCCCATTAAAGCCCAGAGACGTTCCATATACAATCACCTAGATTCCTTTCAATAGCAAACTTCCCACTGACAGACCGAATCCTGAGTAATGCAGAACATCTGCATTCTTCACTTCAGCAGCTGAGCAAAATTCGTTCGTTTGGCCAAGTGCCAGCAAACAAACAGCCACGTGAATGCAGCGACCAAGAACCGGTGCACAGGGAACAGGCACAGCCATTCCAGATCAACATTACTGTAATACAACCAGCAAAACTGCCAGTTATTTCAGATTCAGTCCCACTGCCCCCAAAAGGAAAAAATCTTGGCTGATAAGCTTGAATAAAAGATGTCCGGAACCAGATTTTTAGCTACATAAAGTAGCTGTCATGCATCAAAATGAAGATATATTGAGGGAAGTGGCAGCATTCCAAGTGTTTGGGAACGTCCACAGACAACTGCATGTGCCCTGTATATAACAGCATCTCTGAGCTGGGGGAACTGGCTTCAAGGACATGTAATTAATCAACCCAAAATGTAAGCAATACTTTGGCTGCCATCACACATATCTGCTTTGATCTTCTGTAAACACCCTGGGCCTTCAGTCAGGTTTCCAGGATTCTATCTTCCTCAAAACCACTCAGGACTTTACCTCTACATCACCCAGCAATTAGTTTTCTTAAGCAGATTAATGATGATTGGTGCCGTGACCTGGCCCCAGTGAAATTAATGCTATAGCTCTTTTTAACTTAATTCAACAAAAACCCACTCATCCCAGTGGACATGCCAATGATTTTAATATATACATTTAGACTAGCATAATAAGTTATTAATATAAATTAAATAAGAGAGAACCCTACCATTTATTTTATACAGAACAGTGATAGAGTAATTAAAGCCAGTGAGCATTGGAACCATACAAAAAGCCTTTGAATATTAAAGCTGATATAAGTCAGAGTTGTTTAAAAAGTATGTGATCAGAGAGACTGTCGGAAAAAAGTCTTTTTTTTCATTCAACATAACTAATTTTTTATTAGCACATATGTATATATATATATATATAACTTTTTCAAGTTATAAATCATCCCATTTTTAAATTCCCCCAAATGTCTAATATGTGCTATAAAGCACACATGATAAGAAGCAGGATTTCCCTGTCAAACGCTGTCCAAAATATTAGCTGCGTTTGTATGAGGGATGAATACCTCTCAGCAAAAGAGAGAACATTTGATTAAGTTTAGAAAGCATTCATCTGACAGATTAATTATCCCGAAGCAACAGCAGCAATGAACTGATTAAAACATAAAGCTTTCTATCTCTATGCTTCTATAATGGTCACATTTGAGTAAATTCCATTTCCCTGAATAGATTCAGACTTACTGAAAGGTCGTTATATACTTAGAAAAGTGTCAACAAGAGACAAGAAGGCAACAGCTTCTAAGAGGTATTACTGCAATGTATAATTGATAATGAAATTTGTTGGTTAAATTAGCCAGAGAAAAAGTATGAAGGTCTAATAGGCTTAGTCTGCCGTTCAAAAGAGCAAAGATATGATGGATGCTTTCTACCAAAGAGCAGCACACCTAGCAAGGGCAGAGATGGATTTACCTGCTTGCAAGTAAGGTTGTTACAAATAATTTTTGCCTTAAGCATGAATTTTTCTTTATGAAAACCAGGCCTAATTAACAATATCATACTCTCTAATTGAAACAAACCAACCAACCCCTTTCATCTTCTATCTGGATCAACCTGTCCAATTCAGGAATTCTGTATGAATACTCACAGTGGGCTGGATCACTTAAATGACAAGGCATTGCTATTATTCCTGAATTACCGATACATAACAGACGTCAT